AATCATCAGGAAATGTTTAAAAATCATTAAAAATAGTTTATAATATAAAATTATTTTAAAGTTAAAAAACATACATTTTCCCTTGTAATAATTTTCTGTGTAGAAAGACTGTGAGTGCTATAACAATAATAAATGCAAAGTGCAGGCCGTCAACACCTTGTCGACACCCCCCTCCCCCCTCCGCCACTGTACAGCCTCCATTTGCACCCCCCTCACATATACATACATATCCATCTGGTTTTGGGCAGCCCATAATGAGCAATCCATCTGCAGCAACACAACCCGCACGTAGTTTAGTTTAGTGAAACTAGCTTGATTTACATGATGACCTGACCCCCCTCCACCCTCCAGTCGCCGCCCCTGGATAGTTACTTTTGCCCATTTTCCAGGTCCTGGCATGTGTGAGTCCTCGTCTCGGCGGCTGGCTTAATAAATTGTTTGCCATTAATAACAATAAAAATAGATAATCTCCGTATAACAAATTAATGATGTGCGCCGGCAAAAAGGGACGGCTAGATTCGACAGGCGGTGGCGAGAAAGAGAGGGAATAACGTTCAAGGGTGGCAAAATATGAAAAGTTTTGACTTCACTTGCTCGTTACACTGCACTACAAAATATCTTTAATGCCGAGAATCTGCTCTAAACATTTTGAATTAAATAGGTAATACATTTAGCCGAGGTTTTTAAGATATAATTTATAGCTTAAGTTATAGTAGTCCTATTGCACTGATAAAAAAATGTATAAAAAGAGTTTATCCATTTTTAATATCCATTTTACATTATTTAATTGTAAATCGATCTGTGAATACCAATTTTATCCTGATACTTTTTATCAGTGTGATGAAGGTTGTCTTCTGAATGAAATATTTTCTTTTCCGACCAACTGAAACCTTTCCTGTGCAGACCAGTGTCTTTTCCGGTGGTTGCTCACCAGATACCAAAGTCATAACCCAGCGGACAGGACACCAAGGACTTTACTTGCTACCCGGGGTCGAGGTGAGTGTTCCGCGGAGGACGTGCCACTTGCCGCAGGAGTAACGAGTGGGTGGGTGTGGGATGGGATGGGTCTCCCCCCCGGGAGTCATGTAGTTGAGTACGGATTTGAAGTAAATTAAAAGTCACTCACACCCGACTTTCGGTCCAGGTCTTTCGGTCTCTCGGTCTCTCGCTCTCCGGAGTTCATTATTATGATATTTGGTGTCAGCGCCCCCGTGTTGAGCCAACCCCCATATATAAATATTCGTAGCTACTCTCTAGGGCGTGGCAGAAATAGAAAAATAAAAAGATGGGTAGAAGAGGCAAAACCGAAACTCAATTATAACAATATGCTCAGATTTTCCCTTCAACCGGAGCAGAGGTTTTTCAATTTGTGGTTGTGACTGTGGATGTGTGGATGCGGCCTACCTGCTACCAGGAATCGAACAATACGGGCTCATAAACTATGCCAATAACCATAACTATGAACTAATAAGGCCGAGATGCTCCGTTCGAGGAGATTTTAACACGGCATCAAAACAAAGAAAGTGGAGCAACTGTTGGAAGATCGAGAAGAAACCAACCGACCGACCAGAAATGCTGCTAATCATCGCACAATGAAATAAATTACAAACATTGTTTGGATGGATGAGAGTCCGGATTTTGGGAGTTGAGTTTGTAGTTTGGAGTTCAGAGTTGAACCCTCTGGAATGCCCGCTGTGAAAATTGAAAAGCGTTCGAAAGGCAAATAGAAAACGAACGGGGCAAGGCGCAAAGATTAACACCAAAACAGCCGAGTGTTGCACGTTTATTCAGAGTGTGAATAAATTAAGGCATCAAAAATCATAATACAAACGATCGGGCCACGATAAACACTTTGATTAGCGTTCCGTCTGCTCTGTCCCTCTGAATTCTCAACTGGGGAGCCCCCGCTGCGAAATTGAAATGGAAGCAACTCCCGAGACGAGGCTTTACCTTTACCTTTACCTTTACCCGGTCGATAAGTCGAGAGAGCGGCAAACACCAAAATGCCCATAATTATGACAATCATCTCTGGGATGGGATGGTTTGAAATGGGATCCACTGATTCACTCGGAGTTCCAGTAGAAATTTCAGATCCCCAGTTCCCGAGATGCTTGCTGTTTGGCCGCTTTATGATGGAGCGCTAATCCCCATTGTTGGGACCTTTTGTTGGGACCCCTTGTTGTTGGCTTAAGAATCTGTTACAGAAAACTTAAAAGCGTCGCTTTAATAACTTTATTGATTTCGATTAAGCGCTATAACGTAGGGTGATCATCATCACTGCCAGCACCACGGAACTCAACTTTAAAATACCCTACTGATATTGGGGTATTTTGGTTTTTAAGTAATAAAATGTATAATGAAACATTGAGGTAGGATAAAAGAATATTTTAACTGAAGTTTTCAATGTTCCCTTTCAGTTACCAATTTTATTTTATTCTTTGTTTTAATTCAATTCATATTTCATCATATTTAAAGCACTTCCCGTATTTTTTTTAAAAGTTACACTAATTAATTCATACTACCTAAACTTATATGTGCAATTATATGTCTTTTTTGATAGTTCCACCTCTTAGTCTTCATTTCCACCTCCTTGTAGCGCACATCTCAGCCTCAAATACCGAACCCATATCAAAATCATCGATTGGCCTCCAATAAACAATCAGACAATGAACAATAAGCTTAACAAAAATATTTTCAGCTCAATAAAAAACTCATTTACAACAAAGCGCAAGCCGTAGCGATAGAGCGAGATGGGCAATGGGTTTATGGGTAATGGTTAGTGGGTATTCACTGTATACAGATGTATCTGGTCGGGTTTAAGGAGCTGGGAATGGCTCGACTGACTGACTATTTGTATACACACTCGCACGCACAAATGGACTTAATGAAAAACGTGTGAAGAATAGTTAAGAGCGGCCAATTTGATTTGCATCGAAAAGTAATTGAGCCACAAAAAATGGAAATGGAAATGGAATAGAAGAAATGGAAAACAAGTTATGAACGCTCCACGGGGCACGAGCCTGAAGACCGCGAAGACCGAAGATTCGAAAAAATCAAGATGAAGACGTGGAAAATCTTCCAAATCATGCACAATTATTAAAATCCATAAACGTAATAATCATATCAACAGGCAACAATAACAACCAGGTGAAGCCATTAACAGCATGCCGCAAAAATACAAAAAAATAAAAAAAAACAGTGGCGGAGGGATGGGCCGGAAGGGGGATCAGGGTAAAGGAGGGCCAAAAGCGCGAACACTGAAAAATTAATAAGCAATAAAATTGCCATGAAATGAACTACACCACAAATTCCCATGAAAGCGACCGCTCCAGACCGCCAGTCCCCCCTTACCCCTCTTCAAGCCCCTGTCATAACCCCCCCGTTTACCGAAACAGTTAATCGGTTGTACCGTTCACAAGGAGATTGGCCGTATCCCGAATGCAAATTCAATTGACACTTTGCCGGCCTTCGACTTCAAGACAGGTTCCCCTGCTCCTGCCCCCCTCTTCATTCTCAAATCCCCATGGGGTCCCTCTTGACCAGAAACCGACGCCCCTGCTCAACCGCAAATCGGTTATGGACCGAACGATTTGAGGCTTGAGTTTCAGCCTGATTAATGGGGTTAACCCGAAGACTTGTTCCAATTTTAAGTGGCAAATAAAGAGAATAATCCATTGCATTTTTGGAGATATAATACTTACATGAAGATCTAGAAAGTTTTTGGGAAAGCGAGTTTAAAGCATTGGAACTTCAGAAATTCTCACTAATCCAAGTAAATGTTGAATTTTCCAACGAGTCACTTGAAGTTCCCCCATTAAAGTACCAACTCTTGACCACTCCCTCGAATTGCATTCAATAATGTTATATCCCATAATATTAATGCGCCATATAAAGATGATGTCCAAGTTATTAGGATCATTTTTAGCACTCTTAAACATTTGCACGCCATTCCTCAAGGAAAACACTTTTGAAATATCAGATTTAAGTGTATTTTTGATGCCATTTAAATTGCCATTTATTGAATTCTCCCCGATTCGGGTTGGTTGTTGTTCGTTTTTTTATCATTGGGGATTGGGTAATTTTCCGGGGCTCGGGACCTTGCGCAGTTTTTTTTTTTTTTGTTATTTATTGTGGTTAAGCTCGACTCGAAATCAAAAGGGGAAATAATAATCGTAATTGGTTGTTTATGTGGTTTTTCTCTCTTTACAGATTCGCATTTTATTCTTGTTTGACAATCAGTTTTTATACCCGTTACTCGTAGAGTAAAAGGGTATATTAGATTCGTGCAAAAGTATGTAACAGGTAGAAGGAAGCGTTTCCGACCCTATAAACTATATATATTCTTGATCAGGATCACTAGCCGAGTCGATCTAGCCATGTCCGTCTGTCCGTCTGTCCGTCTGTCCGTCTGTCCGTCTGTCCGTCTGTCTGTCCGTCTGTCTGTCTGTATGAACGCTGAGATCTCGGAAACTATAAAAGCTAGAAGATTGACATTTTGCATGCAGATTCTAGGAGTTCCTACGCAGCGCAAGTTTGTTTCAAAAGGGTGCCACGCCCCCTCTAACGCCCACAATCGCTTATATACGATTTTAAAAATTTCAATATTTCGGAAAAGTAAAAATGCAGTTTTATTGTGTTTATCAATACCTATCGAAATGTAGAAGAAAGTTTTTAAATCGGACCATTCGTTAAAAAGTTACGGCGGATCAAAGTTTAACCCACGAGTTAAGCCAATTATCTCCATCTCCTTCGCTCTCCCTTTAGCTGAGTAACGGGTATCTGATAGTCGGGGCACCCGACTATAGCGTTCTCTCTTGTTTTGTTTAGATACAATATAATTTTTTTTAGCAGCCATTTCGCCGTTCTTTGCATGTCTATACGTAATATTGTGTGGGTTCTCTCATATTTGTAATATACTAGGCTGCTCTTTTTTTCGACACAAAAAAAAATTCCGCTTACTTAACTTGTGGTTTTCTATGCAATTCTTTGTGTTTTGTGTTTCCCTTTATTTTTGTTTTGCTAAATTAAATTACATTTTTACACACTCTCTCACACACACACACGCATTCACACTCACAGTTTTGAAAAAAAAGTTCCTTAGTTAATAGACCTCTATTACATAATTATATTATTCATGTTTCAAGCATTGCTTTGGGCATCAGCCACTTTAAAAAAAAAGGTTATCTATATTTATATATATATATACGAAGTACAAATAATAAATTCATTTACAACACTAATTTAGTCTCTGTCTGGGAACAAGGTGTACTAAAAAAAAAATACAAAAAAAAGATACATTACAAAATACATTTGAATAAATAAATCACTTAGGGAATATTCAAGCTCTGAACCAAGGATACAAATGATGGTGGTACAACTTAGCGGGCGGCGAAGGTTGGGATAAAATTGAGCAAAATATTCTAGGAACGCGAAAATCAAGGGATGATGCTTCAATATGTCCAGCTGGATGTCCAGGGGGTTTCCTCACGTGTTGTTGAACAGCAGCGACTCGATGCTGAAGGGATTGCTCCGCCGCATGCTGATGGGCGACGTCTGGTGGACCAGATTGGCCACAGCCGCCGCCGCCGAAGCGGAGGCGTTTCCATGATGCAGGTGGTGCTGGAGGTGGTGGTGGTGCTGATGGTGTCCTCCTCCGGAGCCCTGACCCTGACCCACCAATCCATGGTGCTGCTGGCTGCTCTGCAGGTTCAGTTGGTGGAAGGCCTTGGCGGGAAAGAGCAGCGGCTTCGGCGAGTCCCGCTCCCTGTCCCGCTCCTCGGACTCATTGCCGTCCATGGGCTCCAGCTTGCCGAATCCTCCGCCAGTTGCTGCTCCATTCGAGAGCATCGAGGGCGGGGCCACCGAACTGGGGCTTCCGAGGCTACCGCCTCCGCCGATGAAGCTGCCCGCCCGCGAACTGTCGCCATCGCCGTCCAGGCCACAATGGATGGAGGAGTTCTGCTGGGAGGAGCCTCCTCCTCCGCCACCGCCTCCTCCTCCTCCGCCGCCGCCCAGACGCACCGGGCTGACTGCATCGCTGTCCCCCTCATCATCGCTATCCGTGCCGCCCACCACGTCGATCTGGATGCCATCGTCCTCGAGATCCGAGTCGGAGAAGGTGCCGTTCGCCTTGTGCTGTGATATGTACTCGGCCTTCAGGGCCTCCAGGTCCACGGTGATGCCCTTGGCCTGCAGCTTCCGGGCCTGCCGGTCAATGGCCTTGGCCAGCTTCTTTCGACGACGGGCTCTACAATTTGGAAAAGGGTGAGAAAAGGGAGAGAGAAGGGGGTTTAGAATGGTCTATGGTCTACTAAAACTATAGGAACGTTTAAAAATTTATCGAAAATACTTCTCCTAATTAATATGATTATCAAATCTTTCAAATAGGTCAAGAAAATAGTTTTCTTTCACTTTCATTATATTGTAAAACCAATAAATGATAAAATATCGTTTATAAAATTTTTTTGTATATATATTGATCGGTGAGCTCCCCAAAAATAACCATCAAAATAATAAAATAATATAATACGATTTGTTTAAAAAGTTTTAAATGATAACTCGTTTGATGGCTTTAAATTTTAAGAAGCTAAACCGCTAATAAGATGATAAATATGCAATTTCACAAGTGATTACTTTATTATTATTATTTTTTAAGATTTGAAATGGCAATTTGCTTGGCAGTTAAGCATTTAGATAGAGAAAATTGATATTTTTATAATTTGGTAATGGGTTTTAGTGTTGGGTATATAAATCTGATGGTCTATAAGGTGGTTGGTGGACACTTACCGCTCCTTGGCCTTGAGCTCGTTGGGCGGAATGGGTTCGCCGCTGCAGGTCTGCGGCTGGGCGTTGTGGGCGGGGCGACCGGGTCCCTTCTTCGTGTGCTCGCGCTTACGCACCTTGGCACGTCGATTCTGGAACCATACCTATCTGGAACAAAGCGTATAATCTCAGCAAAGGTGCTCGCAAAATGATTTTATGTACACAGACTAACATCCTCCAACTTCAAATTGGGAAATAACTTTTTTTAAAGGGTTACACAAATTAAATAACCAATTCTGGAAACAATCACAAACCCATAAGAATTAGATGTTGATTTTTGACACATATTATTAAGTTACAAAAACTTCTTTATATTTCATTCAGATTATTTTGATTTGCAAATTTCGGGTTTTTAAATTATAGAAACTAGAGCATGAAAAAGTTATCGACAGTTTGCTATTTCTCGATATTTAATATGTGTTTTTCCTTCAAAACATCGAAATTATCGAATCGGTATTGTGAAAATATCGAATATATCGATAATGTTCCAGTTCTATTATATTCTTATTTTATTCTTATCTTCTTATTTCTCTGTGCACTTATAAACAAAGGACAATCTCCTCTCGATCGAAACTAAACTCACCGCAACTCGCGACTCCTTGAGGTCCAGCCGCATGGCCAGGGCCTCCCGCATGAAGATATCCGGATAGTGACTGGCGGAGAAGGCCCTCTCCAGCTCCTCCAGTTGCCAGGAGTTGAAGTTGGTCCGCGACCTTCGCCGCTTGGCCGCGCTGCTGTCGTCGTCGCCGTCGCCGGGAAAGCCTAGGGAAAACAAACGGAAAATGGGGAAATCTAAATGAAATTCAAAAACACAAGAATAGAGTCATTAATATTAGCCCGCCGGTCGAGGGGGTGTTGGCTTATTAAAACTAATTAGGGTGGTGCCAAAGCCAAAAACTAACCCCTGAAACCCCAACCACAAAACTATACACACAAATATGGGAACCCGAAATGACCGAAAAAGGCCAGAAATAATAATAATAGAAAACATGGGCGCAAAACACTTTGTTCCCGACACTAAAAACCCTATAATTAAGTGTTGGAAAATTATTTAAATTAGCCGAGACACAGGGGCACACACAGAATGCATAAATATTCATAATCATATATTTCAATTACACCGCCAAAGGGGCCACAAACAAGCAAACGAGTGTCCCCCTCTATATGGTGTATGGTATTATGGTATAACTCATAATTCCAGCCGCCGGCCCACAATAAAAATGAAACAATTTAATTACGTTTCTATGCCGGACCGCCCCGCTCCTTCCGTTCCATTACGTACGTTCCTTCCCGATCCGATCCGATCTGATCCTATCCGTCCCAGGATAGTTTTCTATATTTAGATTAAAACCCCGAAAGGGGGCGTGGCAAACACTCACATTCGCTGGGAATGCATGCAAAAGGCCCCGCAATTTATCAAATTAACTCGGATCTGGCCAGAAAAGAAAAAGATTGAGAGATGGGGTAGGTAAAGGGACGGAACCCAAGGTGTTTTGGGTATTAGACGATGGTCACCAATACTGAGGGGAAACACAGTGCTGGCCAGTAAGAGAGGAACGTTGGGAAACAAGATATACAAGATATTCAGTACTTAAAAAAAATAGATTACTAAGTGGCTTACTAAATGTATAGTCACTTAAAAAAAACATTATATTTAACAATTGTTGAATAATAATTGATAATCATTGATACCTTTAAACTGACCTCATTCAATCATCCACTCATCACATGCCAATCGAAATAATCGATACATTGAGCATCGATGAGCACTAAATACACCCCTGGTGATTATTCTTTCGGTTCTCTTTCGGGGAAATGAAAATGTACAATACAATTAGCCATTTAGTGGCTCCACAATGTATCGTCGAGTGATGAAGAGACCATTCAAAGCGCCGCCACTCAGCTGACTTTGTAATCGCATTAATTTCGGTTTTTAGACGGACACCACCACCCCCTCCCTTTGCCCTTCTTCCTCTCACTGCCTTTTACCGCCCCTTTGGCGGCCTTGCCACAATTGCCGACTACCACCATACGCACAGTACACCGCACACTGAACACCGAACACCCGACATTAAAGCGCAATAACAAGAGGACGCCCCTAATGAATGGCTTGCATTCTGCTGTTAAGTGTACCTAATTATGCGTGCCGCACTGTAACGCTTCGGCCACTCTCTTCTTATGGCCGTCTCTTTCGCGCCTGGAACTCAAACTCGTTTGTTTTAAGCGTTTGGTGTTTGGGTTTGCTGTTTGGTGTGCGAAAGAGAGAGAGGTTAATAACTCAATAGCAACACGCCAAATACACAACAATAATAGAGACATTAAAGGCACAAAGCGACAAACAGACAGAGTGTGCGAGCGAGATGGCCTGCACAAAGTGCATTCAAATGACTTAATAATAACAGGCCAAGTTTCCAGGGGCGGCGAAATGTGTGGGTGGAAGGGGGGGCCTTTGGAGTGCCCGTCGTCGACTGAAACATAATTCATGTTTTTGGCTCTTTGCGATTTGTGCCACCAAAAACGAGATCGAAAGCGAGTGTGGGAGCAAATGCAAACGATAATTGAAATTTATTATGATTATTGCACACCCGTCGTGTGCAGTTTGCAATGTGCAATATGCAATGTGCAATGTGCAGACTGCAATTTGGCAACGTTGCATCGATTCGCACAAAAAAACCCCCACACAACGGGAACAACGAAAAAGGGAAACAGGAACGAAACGAAATGGAAAGGATCCCGAAAATGAAACAAACAATCGAAACAGACCAATCGAAATACCCTTTTCTAAATCATCATTCAAAAACCTCCTTTAATATTCGACGTAATGTTCTTTAATTGTATTATTATATCCATATCATCCAAAAATTAAGTCGAAATACCCTTTTAGATCAATTTATGAGGTCCTTGGTTCCTCCTTTTTTTTTTTTTTTTTTTGTTATAATGATATTATTTATATTTAATTAAGAATCTGTAATAGAAACACCACTTTATTACAACTTTTAAATATAAATATGAATAATGCGTGGAATGTATTTTATGATATTTTCCCCATTAAAAATTATAATACCCTTGATAAGGGTATGAAAAGAAGGCGGCAAAATCAGAAGGAGCGAGTTAGGAGAGTGTGTGTGTGTATGTTGTTGCATGCCCCAGTCACATTCCGTGGCATGCTATTTTCGTTTACAGCGCGCGTCAGCCAGGCAATATAACAGTTACCCAGACGCACACACCATATACACACACCAATCACCACTTCACCGCACCCCCAACCCCTACCCCTTAACCCCATTCCCCTTCCCCGCCCCCGATCCTCGCGGGTGAGCCACTTAAGTCATAAAAATTAAAGCGAAAATATAAAAAAAGGTAAGACAGAAAAGGAACAGGAGAAATGGTGAAGAAGGGAACTACTAAAAACTTAAGAGGGGGTGTTTAAAAGGGGGTGTATGCCAGAGGTGTACGGGCGGGGTTTTCGGAGGGGGTTGTGTGTTGGTTAGTGTGCAGAATGGTAGAAAAAGTATCGTCTTATTGCGTTTTCAAAAACCTTTCAAGGTATTGCACTCTTTACATGGTACACAAGTATTTGGTATCCATAAAAAAACTTTAATCGTAGTTACTAGATTCTATCAAAAGAAACAATTTCAAAAATTAATAAGTTTAAGGGGTAAAAAATTTCGTACATATATTTAATTTATTTATTCACTGCCAAAAATAAAAAGTTTATTTTAATGATAGTATAACTTTGTTTCAATTTTTTCTACCTTAAAGAAGTCACAATTGTTGATATTATAATCAACAAACAAGCATCAATCTATAACAAAAAGGCTCGGTGATAATCATAATCAAGAAAATTGCCCCATTTCCCGAAAAAAAAATTCTTGGACTGATGAAAAAAACCCCATTAAAAGGCGGAAATACTTAAAAAGCCAGGGGGTACAGCAATTTTTGATAAGAAAACTGAGACTGCGGCAAAATCAACTTGTGAAACGATTTATCATTCAGTCTGTCAGCTATTCCGTTGGAATGGAACCTTCGTATTCAAGCCATCATTCCGCCGTTCCATCAATGGGCCAACTTCCGTTTTCAGGAGGGGCGGAACGGAAGTGCTCTACAACTATGTATGTGAACTCTCTCCCCGCAAAAACCCCTTCGGGTTTTGGTTAGTCCAAAGACGGAATTCATTAGGACCAGAAAACAAGACAAGGAGAAAACAAAATGGCGTCGCAATGTGAAACAACTGAAAATCGCATGATAAATGATTTCGATCGCCTTATGACAGTTTCTTCATTTCCGGCGTGAAATGAGCAACGGCAACAGCGCAAACGTCATGATGATGATGATGACGTTCCACCACCATCACCACCCACACCCACACCCATCAAAATCCCAGACTTTTAGGTTGCATGTCAACTCTCTGCCGCAAAATGATTAATGAGCGATGGCAACCCTGGCACTCTGGCTCTCCTCTCCCACTAAAAAAAGAAAACACCCACTCCTCATATCCTCATATCCACAATCTGCACAATCGCCGGCCTAATCAAATTGAATCAAATCAAATTAATAATTACTTTTGCAAGGAGGAAGTGCCCCTAAAAGTGCCTCTGCGTTGGCTGGCAATTAATTAGGCCCCGCGATCTGGGGACACAGAACTTCGGAGCTCGGAGTTCGAAACCCAAACCCCTACCCATACTAAAACCCAACCAAGTGCAGTTAATTACAACAAGCGGGCGAACACGCCCCCTGCTAACGCCCCGACTTTGGATATATGCATTATGGCCATAATTACACCAACTAGCCATCATTTGTTAATGCTAATTGGTCAATGAGCCACGGCGGGGCCTGATCTCCAGTCTTACGAGTATAGTATAGTCTCCAGTCCGGTTTTTCTTTGACTGGGTTCCCGTAACCACTTAATGGCCAACTGGGCGATCAGAGCAAATGGCGTCCCATCAATTTCGGGTCTAGAGATAGTGATTGCTCCACCGGTCCACCAATTGTCCGTCCAAACAAATGGAGAAGGCAGAAAGAAAGTAACTCGCGGTTACCAACAGCGAACCAGATTCAGTTAATTCATCATCAATGGGGAAAAAGAGATCTTTCTTGGCTAACAAGAGTTTCCCGGAATTATTACGATTACCGAATAGGATAGACAATTGTTTGATTACCTAAAGATTTAAGGCGATCAAATGGAGGATATACTAATGGGATCTTTTACTACCTATCGTTCATGTTTCACAATAATCCAATTGATATTTCAAAGAAGGGTTCAAAATATCTATATAAAAAAACAAGGAATCAAACCCTATTAAAAAAGGAAAGCAAACATCTTCTGTTGCCTCAGTTTTCGGTTAGTTTATTGCTTGTTTATGATATGGATGCTTACCCAATTTGGAGTCTGCGACCTTTTCCGGGGGCGCACAGCAGGCGACAATCGCCGGTTGTTCGCATACTACTTTGTATGCTAAATTCGAATCAACGAAATCAATCGAACTTTACATAATAATCGATCGCTGATTAGCTAAATCAATAAATGTGTTTTGCAGGTAGCAAAAGTCAAGCACAACTGGCCCAGCTGATATAGCTAATATAGATTGGGTTCGTTTCGATTGGAGCGAAAAAAAAACAGCATGAATATGAGTGACTGGCTGACAGTCAGAAGGCATTTAGCAGGGCTAATTGAATGAATTAGCATATTGTCCGGGCATCGATAACGAGCAGGATGAGTGCCACAGCTTGTATAGCTTCTATAGCCTCTATAGTTCGCATTCAGATGGAAATATAAATAGAAATTCGATCCCGAGTGGCCAAATGGATCGATCAGGCGGCGCTGACCTCCACTCTCGATGGGGAGGCGCGTGTTCCGTGAGACTTGATAATTCATTAGCCGATCTGCGATCTGAGATCCCCTTTAAAAACTTTATAGCTAATGTTCGGCGAAAGTCGGCGTTGGAAATTGATTTCATGGGAAAGACTGAGGAATGCAAATTGTGACGCGAATTCCAGGTTAACATGGACACGTGTCGGTGATTAGCTTTCGGATCCGTCATCCAGTACTCGGTATTACTTAATTGATGACCATAGCGATCTCTCATTGAGTCACTTTGCTCAACAACTTATAGTATTATGCATTTAGCAAATGGAACTATTTTGAAATATTAGCTTCTCTATATAAAAACCGAACATTCATTTACTTTTGTGGACCAATTGAGTGGGTGGTTTCATTGATATAAAGCTGTCTTTGTTTGGTTTGCTTGATTGGTTCATTGAATTTAGGCAAATGGACCGAATAAACTATATTTACCAAGCTTAAGCTTTTATAAAGGAAAGATTACCTAAGACACCTGCTCACCTTAAAAGCTTTATTGAACTATATTAATTAAACTTTTGAAATCGGTACAAACAATCTTACTGGACATTCTTTATTTAAAACCTTTTCATCAATAGATAAATGGAGTTATACCAACATCAATGTGCTTGTCTCTTTCAAACATTGCATTGAAATTAAAGAATTTATGTCTGCATTTAATTTATGCGCGCGATATTTTAATGTGATACTTTTCAAAGAATTATAAACATTTTATAGATCAGGTTCATAACATATGAGACCCGCATTTTCCAACTACCGACAAAGTACAACAATTTTTCCTGATTTCTAAAGAATCATTTATTTTTGCAGGTTAAGGACTCCAGCTAAGTATGTTTCACTGTTTTTTGAGTTCAACAGAACTTGTGGGAATCGAACACCTTTTAATTCAATATGTCTATGAGTCCAAGGAATATTGATGTCAATTGAAAAGAAGCACAAGTACAGGTATGATTAAATAAAAATAATCACGGGATTAGTTTGATGAATTTATTGTCTTCTGATTTAGTTTTAATCCTAAAACCCTTTCTCTTAACGCCAAAGTCGAACTACTCTTATGGGCAGTATATTGCAAAAGTAATCCTATTTTTACTATTTTTCCACAAAGAAGGGGTTTAGTGGTAGAAGGGAACTCTTTTTCTTGGTATCTAAATCAACTTTTTTTTTTTTTTTTTTTTTTTTTTTAAGCCCATTGCACTTACCGCCATCCTCATTCGATCCTTCGCTGGGCGGTCCCGCCGGCGGCAAACTCTGCCGGTTGCCGATCATCAGTCGGTGCTGGATGGTGGCCACTGTACTTGCGACGGCGGCCACGGCGGTCGTTTGGGCGGCACTCACGTTCCGCAATGCCGCCGCACTCAGTCCCGTTAGGTTGGCGAATGCATTGCTGGCATTTACCGCCGCCATTTGGGTGGCGGCAGCAGCGGCGGCGGCGGAATTCGGGTGACCACCGCCACCGGCGGCGGCATCGAAGCGGGGGCGCCCCAAGAAGGGTCCGTTGGGGCCAAAGACCCCGGGAACGCCGAACTGGAGGAAGGGACCCCAGGGCGGGACGCGAACGCCGCCGGGCGCCAGTTGGGCGGCGGCGGCATAAAGCTGGAGGGCGGCCGTCGGGTGGAGGCCCTCGGAGGGCATGCCGCAACCGGAAACGGAAGTGGAGGAGCTAGTGATGGAACTCCTATGGTTGTGGTTACTCCTTCCAGGGGGAGTCGTCTCTTCCGGATTCTCCTTGGGACTATGATTGTTGTTGTTTCGGCTGGCACTCGAGTTGTTGTTGTTGTTGTTATTGTTGTTGGTCAGGAACTTTTTGCTATCGCCCTCGGAGGTCTCCAAAACCATTATGGTCTGTAGTTTAGGCCATCAAGCAGGTCTATTTGTGCACTGAAGGGGGTTTGTTTTTTATTCACTCGCGTAGGACTTGAAAAAAAAGGTGTTTCTTTTTTATTTTTATGTATTTTGATATTTTATTTATAATTATATTTATTTCGAAGAGCCGTCGGCCGGCGCTAAGCAAACAACGCGTCGTTGCTCACTGATTAAATAAAACTGCACTTGGGCAAAAGTTCGGTTTGCTTTTGTCCTCCGTTTATCAGCCTTTTCGGGAGAGCAGCGAATGAGAATGGGAGTGGGAGAGCGAGTGGGCGACTGGGCGAGCGAGAAAGAGCGGCAGACGCGCTCGCAATGAAAATTCAATTTGAACTGAGCAGCGCAATCGAGGAAACCAGCGAGGAAACCCAGAAAAGCAGCGACGGCGTCGTCGGGGAGCGAGCGAGAGGCACATATTATTGGAGCAGGCGAGAGAGAGAGAGGCGGCGAGGGTAGATTGTTGCCATGTTTGGTGCCATTGTGTGCGAGCGAGAGGGAAATTCATCAGCGGCAGCAACAACCACTTAATTTTTATATGTGCCGTTTCAATTTTGATCAACTGCTGTCGCTCTCGCCTCTCCTCTCTCTCCCTGCTCTCCTCTCTCTCGGCGTGGCCATTTTGCCGCCAGAGCGAGACCACTGTATGCACCGCAAGTGACTTCCATTGGCCGGCTGGAAAATAGGGGGAATTCCGGTAAACTGTCGCTGCCAACGTCGCTGCCGAGACAAAGGCGCTGCGTCGCCATTGCCAAAAACGACTTGAAGAGTTTTCAATTTTCTTCAGCCGTGTGTCCCGAGTCCCGAGTTTTCCAGGGCGGAGTTATGCGGCATTTTTTCAATTTGCCGCACATCAAATTATTATGCTGCCACTGCCGGCGTCGCTGCTCTGGCTCTGCCGCCGCGCTGCCAACTGGAAAGTGGCAACTGCGAGCTCCGCCATAACCATAAATGGCAATTTTCCTTGCGACAAATAGAAAATGAAAATTCGTTAACAATTAATTAGCCAAAAGGGAGAGGCTGCTTAGCCCAAAAGCGATTGCAGGGCGTTTTCTGGCCGATTTGTTAGCACTTTGTTGGCCATTTTCCCAGAAACCAACAGATATAATCAATTAAAAGACGCTCTAGGAATTTTCCATAGGCATATAGGATATATTTAAACAGCATGAGTGCCAACAGGAAATCATTAGAAAGTGCCATTTTGTATCAATAAATTAAATAAAATACATTTTATGACATTTTAAAGCTGTTAGAAAATACTGGGAAGTTGTAAAATCGAATAGTAAAGTCTGTCTTTTGTTGGAATATTTTTCTCTGTAAAGTTTTTTGAAATTTAAATTTTAATGTAATATTTTATTTTTGCTTTCCTTTCGCTTTATTAACGTTATCAATTAAAATGCTTGTTTTTCACAACTTCAGCAACACGTACGCTGAATATTTTCCCTTAATTTGTTGACATAAACGCCTCGTTCCCAATTTTCCGACTCAGAATAGCATCTCCCTATATTTTTTGGGATACTTTCATGCTGCTGCGCATGAATCATTCATTTTCATTTTATCGAGCGCCAGCAGAGCAGTGCCACTTAACCCATTTGCCCGCCTTAACACCCCATGGAAAAACTCTGGCCTGGCAATCAATGACATTGTACGGAAAACCCCCTCGAAAAGTATCCTTCGGTGTCCCCACAATACCCCCCGTAGCCCCCCTGCAACCACCCCCTCATCTGTCAGATGTTTTGTTGGCAGGTTACTTAATTGCTCGCCTCTCGCTCTTCTGCCGCCCCACTATTTGTTTTGAAATCCCCCCAAAACCAATTATTGGATCCGCCACTAGTTCTGAAATTTCAAAGTTTGAGATATACCTTAAGAAAGAACCATCTTTAAAGAAGGATCCGCTCATTTTTCATCAGTTTTGTTAAAACTATATTCCACTTTCTCACGGTGTAGCCCTTTGCCTTTTGCTCTGGTACTTTTATTCCGCTTTTCCCACTCCGCCTGTCACATGTGCAACGTTGACGCTGTCGGTTGGTGTTCGCTTTATTAATGACTTACAGCGCCAGTGGCCGAAAAGCGACAGGCACACACACCCCCAAAAAACCCACCCATAAAATCCCTACGCCCCTTGAACCCCCAAAACCCCCCCCTCCTCCGCCCCTTTGTGCTATCAGTTTGTTAATAAAATTTCCATGCGTACCGAAACTTAATTAATTCTGCTACAGTTTGTTGCAAAAGTTTGCCCCAACGGCGCCCATGTCCTTGGGCCAACCCAACCTCTCCAAACCCCCCGCCTCTCAACCCCCCTGCAAATCAAACGAATGAATTTTAATTATTTTTTGTGCTAGCAAAAAGTTTTCCGCTCGCAGGTTTCAGGAAAAACTTTTTTTTCCTTTGCTTTTTTCCAGAAAACGGAATTTAGAAGAGGGGAATGATGAGCGAGAGCATAAGGGAATTGGGGTATATTTTTTATGTTCTTCTCAAGGTTTTGCTAATCAGAAATTATTCGAGTGAATGTGATGAAAATCGAAGTGGAAACTGCCAAGATTTGAAAATGAATTAGGGGATTTTTTTTATTAAGATTCGGTAATGCCATAAATATTATATACTAATTTATAGCATTTGTTCTAAAATAAACCCAAAAAGTATTTCCAAAAATTAATAAATTTTCTTTACTTTACATTACTAATAAACAACATTAAAAATGGCCAGTAATTATCACGTAGTCACTTAGAAATTTACATTGATAAACGAAAAGCTGTAAGGCAGGGAAACAAAATAGAGGGAAATTCGCCGGCGAGGATGGGAAATTTGCTGTGCGGCCGCAAACCACTCGGATTGGATGTGGAATGTGGGATGCTTTGGGGGGAATTTTCCGCTCAAAATGTCTCTTTGATTTGTCTGTCAAATGGCTGCACTGGCGTGGGCGGAAAATGGGTAAAAAAGGGGGTGGGGGTAATGGGGTGGCATGGCGATGGACGGATATGAAAACTAAGGGAATGACAGGCAGGAAATTGAAGAACTGCTTCATGCCATTTGGAAATAAGTAATGATAAGTGGGGATCCCAAATTGACGTGGGATGTTGATATGCTGCGTACTTTGCATCTCCTTTGGAAACAAAATCTAAACCATCATCATATTCAATAAAAGCAATTAAGCATTAAAAACAAAAAAAATCTTTAAGAATAACTTTCTTGAAATAATTAAGCAATAATTGTAGAAAAAAAGAAGTTAAATTGTTGGTTATAAAAAAGTATGTACTGAATTTGTTAATCTTGAGGGGCAATATACTTTATCTTAAAATAAATATATTTAAACTAACATAACATAAATTTGTTATTTAATTTTAATTTGTGTAATGCAATTAGAATTTTTCTAAACATATATACATAGATCAGTTTTTCAGAACCAATTTTTTTATCCAAGCCTTTTAAATCTTCTTATTTCTTAAAACTATTTAATCCATAGTTATTTTAGCATCACCTAATTTATATTTTACAAATGTACCAAAAACGCATGCAATAAAATTTCATTTTATTACAAGGTTTCCTAATTCTGATAACTCTAACCATAAAATCCGTATTGGGCCACCCCAAATAAGTGCAGTCCAAATTGTGACAGTTGTGAGTTCGATTTGAGTTGGCCAATTAACGAGCGTGTTAATTGGCCGTCAGTGGGACAGATAGAGCATAGCCAGCGTGTCAACCGCACATCATATTGTGGCCATCAGAAATTGTTAAATTGCCAAAGCCACGCCCACTCGGCGAACCTGATTTCCGATTTCTGCCAACCGATCAACAGATGCAGCGAGACCACAAAATCGAAAACAGAATACTGTATACAGGATTCAGGATCACGGGGCACACATGTGTCGCTAATTTCAACCGACCTACCGACACGCCCACTTTTCCTTCGGCTTCTCAATGGTGTAAAAAAAAAAAAGAACAAACAACAAGGAAATCAAAACAATGAACAGGGCAACCCCCATGAATGGGAAAACCTCCCTCTCTTTTTTTTCTGGTTTCTGGGCTGGCAAAAGTCAAGTCACACAAAATTATGGCAATTACGCTAAGCAGGCCATTTATTTTTATGAGCCCACGAATTATGAATAATTGCAAGTGAAGCACACACAAACTAAACGTGAGAGACCAGAAAGTAGGGGGGCTATATCCAGTGGCGGAGGGGAAGGGGGGCCACATCGTTAGCAGACATGTTCGAAAATCCATTTTGACATTCAGCGCTGACATAATGAAAAACCGCATTCGCATGCCGGCAGTTTCCTCGGCGATTCCATCACGGATCGAAGCCAATCTCCAGACCCTCCCACACACATAACACCCCCTTTCCAGGGTGTGTGGATTCGTCATTAGGCTCATAAAATTGCAATGACTTGGCCAACACACACACACACTCACTCGTATATTCACACAGCGAGACAACCAGCAATCTTGACAAATGACAAACAACCAAACTAAAGTCTATTGGTTTCGATGGCTGTGATGAAAGTGGGATTACCCTTTTCTATTTGGAGAATGTCTTTGTTTGTTTTACATTATAAAGTAGCAATTTTCTTACAATTATAGATTATTAAATCTCATTGCACAGACATTTATGCTTCATTTTACCTTATACAACACTGTTTTACGTTAGCTATTTGGCCAATTATATTTTTTTTACACTGACTAATTTTAATACAATGAAACGAAAATATATGTAATTTGTATTTTTAGTAAACCCTTTAAGACACCCTTTAAATTGAAAAAGTATTTATATCAACACTTAAATAAGGCCCTTAGGCATTGTTCAACACTACCAATATGCCATTTTCTCTGCTTGATATCGTGGTGTTAGAGGGCGGGTTTTTTGGGGGGGTTCTTTCTGTGGGGGCCTGTGATTTGGCACAGACAACGACGAGGACATCAACGCCATCAGCGACAACAACAATTGACATTCATTGGCTAGTTTGATGGTCGCTTCCCCTCGCCACTGGATGTCCTAACTCAACCCCCCAACCACCACAGCCCAATACATTGTCTTTCCTCTGTTCCTGCTCGGATCCT